ATGACGAAAGCAGAGCATCAATCTCTGCTACTGATGCTGATTTGTCAAACTTATAAATACATATAGGCAGAAGTAGAAATATTTAGTGTCTCCTACAAAGTAAAGCACACTGTGCAGTATGCTTCTCTTGGACTTTTAAAATATTCAACTGAATGCTGTTTTAAAAGGCTACATTGAACCCCTGGCCAGTTTGGCTCAGCGGTTAGAGCGTCGGCCTGCGGTCTGGAGAGACCCGGGTTCGGTTCCCGCTAAGGGCACATACTTCGGTTGCAGTTTGTCCCCGGCCCTGGTTGGTCGTGCGGGTGGCAGCCACTCGATGTGTCCCTTCACATCGATGTTTCGCTCTCTCTCTCCCTTCCTCTCTCTCCCTCCCACTCTATCTGTACAAAAAAAAATGAAAAAATATCCTCGGGTGATAAAAGGCTACATTGAAAACACACGGGCACAAACCCTGGCCAGTGTGGCTCAGTGGTTGGAGCAGTGACCTAGCACTGCAGGGTCATGGGTTCCATTCCTGGTCAAGTGAACATTTCTCAGTTGCAGGTTCATTTCCTGCCCTGGTCAGGGCACGTACAGGAAGTAACCAATGGATGTGTCTCCCTCACGTCAATGTTTCTCTCTCTCTCTCTCTCTATCCCCCTCCCTTCCTCTCTTCCACTCTCTCTAAAAAAACTCAATGAAAAAAAAAATATCCTAAAGCAAGGATTAACAAAAATAAATAAATAAAACATAAAGGCACAAGACAGTGAAATCGAATGGTTGGAAAATATAGGTAATACATAAATCCTAATTAAATATAGAAAGGTAATATTGATATCAGACAATTAAGCTTCAAGGCAAAAATCATTCCTTGAGATAAAGAGGTTGCTTTATAATAATAAAAGCTTTATTTTGGCAGTAACACATAGCAATTTTAATCTGAGAAAATAAATGCCAATCACAGTATGGGTTGTTGTGCACACCTCTTTCAGTAATTGACAAAAGAAGCAGACCAAAGTCAGTAAGAATACAAAAGCTTTGACCTAACAGACATGGATAGGAAAATGCACACTATAACTGCAGAATACACAGTTTTTTAGGCGCACACAAAGCACTTAAGTGAATTTATCTTTTGCTGACCATCAAGCAAGTCTCAATTTCAAATGACTGAAGATACAGAGAGTGTGTTCTCTGACCACAATGAAAATTTTCTAGAAATCAGTACCAGTTGGTTGACTAGGAATCCCATTTATTTGGAACTTAAATACGTTTCTATTCTACACTGTACTGGGAGTACTAGCCAGCATGGCAGGGGAATCATTCAATCAACAGGAAAGAAAGAACAAATAACTATCATTATCGTTAGGGTGGGAAAAAAAACAACTACCAAAAGAATCTCAAGATGATTAGAATTAGTAAGAAGTTTTTGTGATTTGCTAGATATAAACTCAACAATCAAAAATAAATTCTATTTCTACATACCATCAATAGCAAAAAGTGGAATTAAAAATGCCATTTACAATAAAATAAAAATATTCATAACCTAGAAATAAATCTAAAAGAGAGGGTACAAAACTTCGAGAGACCTTGGGGAAGACCTAAACAAATGGACAAAGAAACTATTTTTATGGATTAAAAAAACTCAATATTCTAAATGTGCTATTCTTTCCAGAAATATTCATAACTTCAAAGCAATCCCAGTTAAAAATCCCAACAAAGCTTTTTCCCCACCCTTGGTGGAATTAACAAAGTGATTCTAAAACCTAGAGAGGAATGCAAAGCACTAAAAACATTCAAGAAAATCACTCAAGCTGCCAGGACTTATTTCAAAGCCATGGTGATTTGGCCGTGCACTTGGCACTGGTATAGGCAAGTCAGAATAGATGGAGTAGAACAGAAAGCTAGAACCAAACCCACACATATGCGGATGCTGGACCTAGGACACAGGCAGTAGGGGGCAAAGGGATGTCTTTTTGTTCTACTGTGGAAAATTGGGTATTCATTTGAAAAATAAAATAAAACAATGTCATAACATACATAAAAATTAACTCTATGTGGATTATAGGCTTAAAAATAAAGGGTAAATTATAAATCTTTTAGAGAACAATATAGAATATCTTTATGATAGCATGTTTATAAAAAAATTATAAAACCTTATATGAAAAGTACTACCCACAAAGGAAAAATGGATAAATTCAAGTATGTTAAAATTAAGAATATCTTTTTATAAAAAGACACAACTAAGAAAGCAAAAAAATAACATATATGTGACCAAAACATACTTACAAGAATATAATGTATTTGCAACATATGGAAAGAATAAATTATATTGAATGTCATTAGAAAAAGAGAAACTACCCAAAGAAAAATAAACACTTGTATACAAAAGAAGAAAAGCAAGTTTTGGATAAAGAGGTGAAAAGGTGTTCAGCCTCATTAACAAAGAACACAAATTAAAATGATAATGAGATATAGTACAAACGCCTCAGACCTGCAAAACTAGAAATTCCCTGTGTCAAGTAGAAGTACAATACTTTAGAACACAACTTTGGTTTATTTAGGAAGGTTGAAAATATGCATTGACAGCATACAAATTTTAAAGATACTCAAACATAATGTGCACTACAGTATATATACAAGAGTGGTCACTGAGGCAGCATCATTCATAATATTTCAAAAATTGGAAACACCCAAATGTCCATCAACAGTAGAATGTAAATAATATACAACAATGAAAATGAATGACCCCCAGTTACATGCAACAACACAGATGAATCTTAAGAAGCATAATTAGAAAAAGAAGCAAGTTGTAAAAAATAAAATAAGAAGAAGAAAAAGCACAAATTCATTTAGAGTAAAGCTTAAAAAGAGGCAAAACTAAACTGATGTTTTTTTTACAGATGCCTGTTTGTCAGTAAAATTATAACTAAAAGCAAGGAAACATAAAGTCAGGATGACAGTTACCTCTACAAAAGAGGAATGGACATTTGTGTTTTATGTACTTCACTTTTTTTGTGTTACAGACCATAATTTAAAAAAAAAAAAAAATGAATGAGACTGTTCTCTATATATTGATACTGAAGAATTCTTAAGCTGCTTGTTGTAAAATTGTTACCAGACTGGGTCTGGGCCTGGAGTGGGCTGCCTTGGGCTCCCCTGTAGTGTGTGGGATCTTGATTTCATACAGGAAAGATTTCACAATGCAAGTCCAGGTGATTTTTGAGAGTCTGTTTATTCAAGCTGAAGACAGTGAAACAAAGAAAAGGCTTACGGGAGAAGAAGCAACAGAAGAGAGAAAGAAGAGGCCTTAGAGATTGTTTCATGGGGTGAGCGTGGGATGGGCTGCCGCTGCCTATTGCTCCCTAGTTGAAAGTCTCGTGGGGTCCCTTAGAGTTTAGGAGAAAGACAGCAGAGATACAAAGTGTGGGCATGCTCTAGGGAGAGCCAGCCATGGTCCTTCATCCTGAGGCTTTTTATCTTTCTTTGGCTGGCCTGAATCCCAGATGTCTCAGGGGAGGGTCTTAACAGAATAGTCATTAGCTTTTCAGGTGTGTCCTTCAATATGTTGATTCATCAAAATGTATGTATAGAGGGGTCAGAGTTATTTTCTGGTTAGATCTATCTTTAAAGACCATTACTGAAGTGGGACTGGGACCCAGACCAGTCTGCCTGGGACAGTCTGGAATGTGTAAACCATTTGCACCTGAGTGTTCTTGGTTAAGGAAGATAAAACCTTGTGATTCATTAGCCGGCTGAAAATTGCCCAAATTGTTTGACCTTGTTCAGTTGTTTTATCTCAGTTTCCCCTTATTCCACTTGTCAAGGAATTTCCCTAGTTTCTTACTCTCCTGCCTCAAAATGAAAAAAAAAAAAAAGTGAAAAGTGTATCAAATGTGCTACTATATATGGAAAGGAAGAGAAAGAGGGATGGGGGAGGGAGAGATGCTTGTAGAAGGGTAACCAGCACCAGAATAGCGGTGTCTGCGGGCAGGCAAAACAGGTGGCCAAGGAACAGGGTTATAAGAATGACTATTCAGTGCATACCCTTTTGTGTCTTGAATTTTATATGTACTTGTGAATGAATAAATAAAATACCTAACGAAGTTTCCTAGAAACTCCATCCTTATCCACAAGGGGTCACTATTGAGTGTTGTTCAACTCCAGCTCTTAACCAGGGGAAAGCGGTTCTGAATTCTCCCTGCTCTCACTAGGAAGTGAAGAAACGTCATCTTTTATGTCCTTACTGTATTCAACGCCACATCATGTTCAAATATATATACATACATATATTTAAAATAAGTTTAAAGAAGACAAAGAAGTGGAGGGATAATATGAAGCCAGGACGGAGTTTACAAGAAGCATATTATTAATCATCTCCCTAGTGACAATGCACAAGTTAGATTCTAAAGTTTTCAGCATCCGATGCAAAAAGAAAAAAAGAAAAGGAAGTATGGTCAGACACACAAGTGAAAGACTTGCTGGAAGAATATTAAGAGTAGGCAACCCTGGTAGACAATCTGTGAGGACCCTTTAGGTGAAATTCCTGATGGATCTTAATGACAAAAATAATTCATGATTCAATTATGAAGTCATACCATCTCACTCTCTAAGAGAAGTTTAAAATGCTTTGGGACCTCAGACAAGGGAAGTTTCATTCATGGTTAATAATGAATGAAAATGAAACTAAGAAAACCCATGCGGTAGAAAAAGAAGAAACGCCCCAAGACTGTGCTTCACAAATTTTTATGTCTGCACTTAAGATAGGGCGTGTCTCCACTTGGCTGGGGTTTTCAAAATTTGGTAAATGTAATGAATTTCCTTTTTTTCTCGAAGCAGAGCTGATTGTGCATTGGGCTACTAAGGGGTTAAATGCTACCTCCCAGTTCAAGGGGAATTAGTCCTATTCAAACACTGTGGCTGGGCTCCAGGCAGTATAAAGACTGGGAGAAACCTGTGTGTGGAAGACACGGTTTTTCTCTGTGCCAGGACCTACAAGGTTTACAGAAAACACTTCAGCGGTCATGGATTCATCTGACATTCAAAGGAAAAAAATCGCTGTCATTGGTGGCGGCTTGGTAAGCATCTATTTGGATATTATTCCTATTAGTGGTATTATATTAACCATCATTACTCTTAATGATTGTTATTAATCACTTGTACAAATTATTTGTTTTCTTCTGAAAACTTTTCTAATTATTAAATATACATATTTTAAATATGTATTAGTTTTCATTTGCTTTCTTCTAGAGATGTGATTTCCATTAAATACAAAGGCATCTGTTTTTGCTTGTCATTTTGATTTAGCATTTTTTAAAAAAAGAAAATAAAGATAATTGACTGTATTGATCCCCAGGTTGACTGTTTTTTGTTTTGTCTTTAAATTAGTGTAAATAGTCATTTTAATAAAACCTAAGCCTCACTTTGCTTAACTCAGTTTATTCTGTCTAACAAGAATAAAAGGGTCAAGAAACACGAAGCTAGTGCAAGATTATCACGCTGGGCATTCGCTAGTTATTTGTGTCGTTGGAAATGATACCTCTTCGGTCCCTGACTTATTCGGCTGGTCTAATGGAATACCTCAGGCACTAGAGTGGGCCCCCCCCACTGAGCAGGTGAGGTGACCTCGAGGGGACATGCCCTACCTGTAACAGGCAAGATGTAAGAGGGGTTTCTCTGCAGTCACGGTGTTACCAAAGCCAGTTCTGTGTAACATGGCACTGTCTCAAGTAACTGGATTTCTCCCCTCTCAGCAAAATATCCCCATTAGTTAAAATTTAACGATTCTGTTGTCCTCTTCGGGCTAACCATTTGTAGGCAGTTAGCTCATAGCTATTTATTCATTTATTTATTTACTCAACAAAAGTTTATCGAGGGCCCAGCTCATCTATCTACATAGGTTAGCAGGTCTAATGTTACACCTATGTTCATATAGTGTATGCTAAGTTGTCTTTGGTTCTGCCTTCCTTATTGTCTTTCCCTCAAAAGACTATGACAGTTCCTCAAACACGTATGGTTCTAAATTTCAAAATGCTGAGGAATGCCATTACGTGCCATGTTGGTCAATGCATGTGATGTATGTAGTCATTTCTTCATGCTGGGTTTCGGTTCAATTCTTTTCTATCAAAATTTTGCATAAAAGGAGAATTCGTGTTTACACAAAATCTTACTGAGCGCCTGCTCTGTGCCAACATTGCTTTAGATACTGCAGATTCAGGGGTGAAATAGAGAATTTCAGTGAGAGCACTACACAAGGAATGCAGCAAGGTACTTCTGGGGAGTATCTTAGCCAGTATCTGGTTAGCGTATGGTCGGGACAACCTCTCCGAGATGGGGGTAGATGACAAGAGACCTGAACAATGAGAAAGAAGCCACCAGGTGAAGGGCTACAGGAAAAGCATTTGAGGCAGAGGGAACAGCAAGCAGAGAAACCCTGAAGTGATGATGACCTGGCACATTCAGGGAGCAGACAGAAAGGCAGAAAGAACGAGGCTGGGGAAGAGCAGCCGCTGAGGCTGGAGAAACTGACATGGCTGCATCTCCTCAGATCTCAGAGGGCGACGCAAGGTGATTGGATTTTATTCCAGGCGCAATGGAAAGCCATTGGAGGATTTTAGGCAGGGTTTTAGCTGTGATTTTAAAACATTTCTCAGGCTGTTAGGTGGAGAAAGACTGGGAAAATTATAAGCCAGGATAGAGCAGTTAGGAGGCTGCTGTGTTTGTCTAAGACTTGGACAGGGTTGCAGCAGAGATGTCTCTTAGAAAGCCAAGGGGAGGCAACAAATACTTGATTGGATATATGGTTAGGGAGGGCATGCAAATATGGGCGTCATCCATGGATTTCTCACTGAAATGCGCTTGAACTCTCCATTATCTGGACACACATACATGTGCTAGAAAATGGGAGATCAATGAATACATGTGTTAAGAAACAACCAAAAGTCCTGCAAAGGAACTATCCACCTTATTGCGCAGGCCCATGTCTGGGAATGATGTTTGGTTCCCTTTTTCATTTCGTTCAACCCCCATTCCTCTATTGCTCTACCAGTAAGCCTTGGTGACTGTACATCCAAAATACCTCAGTTTCGCCATGGTTACCACCCTCATCCTGCAACATTCCTTCATCCACTTCCCAAGTGGTCTCCTAGCTCTGTTCTTATCCACAGACAGTCCATTCTCCACACAGGAGCCAGAATCATCCTTTTAAAATATGTGTCTGATGATCATCACTCTTCTCTTAGAAACTTCCAGTGGTTTCCATTATAAAAATAAAATAAAATCCAAACTCTTTACCAAAAGCCCTACATGAACTGACCTGTCCACCTGCCTGACCTCACCCTTTTCCTGTTTATGGTTTTTATATTACCTGTAAGAATCTGAAATTACACGTATTTATTCTTGTGTTTTTGCCTATATATTAAATATCTACTCCAACTAGGATATAAACTATTTTTATTTTATTTTTTCCATCTATAAACTCTTATTTACTAATATATCCTAGTGGCTGGAACCATGCCTAACATTTAGTGTTATTATTTAGTTAGTATTTAATGGATTAATAAAAAAGGGAAATGAAAAAAACTCTTCCTAAGAATATGAGGGTGAAGAAAATGTCATAACAAATGAAAGTTTGAAAATTAAAGGTATTAAGAAAAGTATTGATTAACTAGAGCAATTCAAGAAGGTTAAGTTCAACACATAGAAGACAAAATTACTTTCTTGCCCATCGTCTTCCTTGTGTATTTTTTTTTTTTTTACCCTTCCCATCTCCTTCCTCCCCACAGGCCATATCCTGGGACTTTACATTGTCTAACACATTAAAGGCTCTCCCAGGGTCCTAGGGGGGGAAAAATGCAACAGAGTTGAGAACCTTTACTAAGATGTCCAAAGAATACAAAGATATCCCTTATTTTTTCCAGTGGTAGCCTTACCTAGGGAAATTACCCAAAGCATGTAGTGACCATCTGACCCTGTGATAAACCATTTTACTTATGTTCTTTGAAGACATGTCAAGGAGGTCAGAAGAAATGAACAGATCCTTGAAAGAAGTCTTACTGAAAAAAACTAAAGGAACTGTAAGCCATAATCATAAAATGGTGAAAGTTTAACTATGAAAGACTAGAAAAAGATGTCAAACCAATATTTCAAGAATGTTAATCTGAATATTTAGAAAAATCACTGTATGGATTTTTTCCCTCTTCGTGTAGCTCCCTGACCCTTCCCCTGCCAACGGTATTACCTCCTGGAAGCTGGAGGGTCAGCCTGTACCACGCTCTTCCCTCCTGTAAATGTCCACAGGGCTTTGTTTGCTTTTATCATGGGCTGCCTTCTATTAAAATTATTGATATGCATAGTTTATTTCCCATAGAAGGATTTTAACTTCATGAGTCTAACGATTGTCTTATCTTTGGGTTCTGCTCCCTTCTCTTTTCTAAAGGTTATCCCAGTGCCTTATACAAGCAAACACGCTAAAATATTTTGTGTGCATGAGTTTGCTTTCAGAACAAAGCTGGGAATCACATTCTTAGAAGTTATGAGGATTAGAAACAAGACAATGTTTGTCACCAGAATGGTGCCATAAGGAATGTAGCCCTTTGAAGGACTAACTTGAAAAAGGATTTGAAAAACCATCTTTACTTTTCTGGCTGGAAGGGGTTGGTATAGCTTTCCAATTCTAACAAGTCAGTCTAGCGGGGAAAGACGGCCATACAAGTGTGTTCAAGTGATGTGCTTCTTTTCTTTACCAAGTGACAAGCCAGAGGAGTCAAAAGCAAGGCTATCATCCAACCCATCCCTGTATCCTTCAGCTCTGTCCATACTCAGGTCCTTGGTGGCTATTTTCAACTTTTAAAGATATGATGGAAATGATCGGAGACAAAAACACTCATTCAGTGACAGCTTCAGCTACTTGAGCCCTCGTTTTTTGGTTGAAGCCTACAACTTTAGCTAAAATGTCTAGGGAGCATGCCAGGTTCAGCTGTCGCCTGCTGTTGTAGGTGTGCCCACTGTTCTAGCACACACTCTAATGGTGTGTTTTAGGGTGTCATTAAAGCATTTTTTTCTGTCTCCTCTACTGACCAGCAACCCCACTACAGTGTTTTGTGACTCATTCTTCCTCTTTTTGGCCCGTCAAAATTCTCTGTTAAAAGGTACTTAAAGGTTAAAGTTGTTCAAAACATCGGGTGAGACAATTCATGCATTTTATGACCGATTGTTGATAACCGTGCCCTGCCCCTGGTTTTCAAGTCAAGTTCGTGGCCTCTGCTGATGGCCTTTGAAGGAACTTGACCTTGACCTGAGAGTTTGCTCTAGCAGCAGTATAGATGTTAGATTCTGTCATAGACTTAGACACTCAGAATAGTCACAGAAGTCCTTGTCTCCTTAGGATCTTTATACTTCAAGACTCGCTCCTCACTCAGCCTAATGGGATAGAGAGATTAGCCAGTGCGGGGACCAAGCATAGGAGGCTCAGCAATCAGCTAAAAGCCCAGAAAAACTTCCTCGCTCTGGGTCTCAGTTTCTTCTTCTTGGGCTAAAACTAGGTCACTAGCTCTTTTAACTCTAAAATTGTACTGCTTTTTTGTCATGCTTCCTCACTCACAGATACATCTAGTCTTTATAAAAGCAGAAATCAAATGTCACCCAGAACTTTTATTTTCCCCAAAGTGAGTCCCGACACGTACAAACTTAAATGTCTACAAACTCTAATCTTGGGTCAAGGTCTAGATATAGTTTGGTTCAAGTAAATAACTTTTATTTTATGTAAATATTAACGAGATAAGCCCTGTGAAGAACTTAATGACTATTAGCCTTTATTATTTTTAAAATTTTATTCATGTTAAAGTAAAACTCTATTCACTTCGCTCTTGTTTTCTACACCCCAGGCACCAAACCCCCCCAAATACGAAAACCCCTCCTTACCGCCCTGATGTCTAGCGCCTCCTCCATGCAGACGTAGAGGGATCGCTTTGTGGGTGTAGAAGTCATTCCGAATCTGCTCAGAGGCTGGAACAAGTTCTGATCTCATTCAATTAGCTTTACTCAGTCTCTTTTGTGGTTTTGCTTGCGCTCCAATTAT